AGAGAGGATCAGGAAAGCATCTTGGAAGTTTGATGAATGGATTTCACACTAGGTAGAGCATGGTTTGAGTTTAAGTCCTCTCTGTCCCTTAACGTGGCTATGACTGTGCATTAACTTCTCAAACCTCAATTCGCTTTTACAATGGAAGTTCCAAGTAGCACCGCAATGATGTTTGCGTGAAGATTTATGAAGATAATGGACTGACACTCAACTCTACCTGGCTTGTAAAATGCTTTCTCAAAAAGAAGAAATAAAAAGACAAAAATCGCTATGATAATATATGAGAGATTAAACATTTTCTCCAAATCCATTGCTATTATACTTTCTCTATTACTGAAAAAATACTGAAAAGTTACATTCGGTGAAATTAAACTTTAGGCAATTCAATGGTAGTAATTGGTAAGAGTAGAAAAATTAAAAAGGAATAATAAACAATAAATAAAAATGACTCCAACACTCTTCAAGACAATCATGTTAACAGTACTTTGGTGTATTTTCTTTAATTTTCTGTGCTGTGGAATTTACTCAGAATGGTAAATGCCTAATACAACACCAGAATTTACAGTATGTAGGTGTGTATAACGATTTGGTGTCATTCACTGTTAATTCAGCTTGCATGGAGAGGACTTTCCTATGTCTTTGTTATTTGAAAAATGTGCTGAGGGTTGGGGTGTGCAAGTCAGACAGAGTGCTAACCTACAAAACATGACATGATTCAATCTCCAGCACACAGCCAAAAAAAAAAGTATTCGGAAGGGTTGAGAGTAATGAGGTTTAAAGTATGAAGCCATAGTTATTTTCTGGAATTTAATCTTAAATTAAAATGTCAATAATATGATGACTATCCTGCTCTAATCTAGCATTTGGTACTTATTCACTTGGACAAATGTCTAAAAGTAAAATTATTAGGGTGCAGAATATGCTTTTTTTAACTCTCTGGTTACCCATCCCATGATCTTCTAACTCTCAATGTGTCTGGGCTCCCATGTCTATCATCAGGCATCTTAGAAAATGCATTACAGTTGAAATATGTTTGTTGATGATTCAATATTTTCGATATATATATTGACCTGTAAACAATCTTCCTGTATAGGAAGCAGACCTCCAGTTTGGTAATAGAAATTTAGGGAATTGGTATTGGAGAATGTGTTACATGGGGCTAGATTCTGCGTTCATTCAAAACCCAACAATTTTAGTGAAGGAAAAATGTGTAATTTTACCCTGATCAGATAAAATTGGGTAAGAAACAATTCTCAAAGTAATCTAACTCCCTATTTTTAAAGGAATTAAAGCCTTACAGTTAGTAGATGAATGCCTTTGCGATGTTGATGGAGGGCTGAAACAGCGGAACTTACACAACTGCGTCAATTATGACAATTTTGGCTGACCATGGTATGCTTTTAAAATCGTGTTTTATCACATCAGGGATTAGCAAAAATAACAGTTGAATATGTTAAAGACTTTATTTTCCAGACCTACAAAGTCTTGAAGCAAAAAAAAAAAAAAAAAAAGAAAGAAGGAAAGATTTTTGTGGTAGATTATAAAGCAAAAAAGGACTAAAGTTAATTTCTAATTATTTAAATTTTGAAAAAATTTCCATCTGCTTCATTGGGGTAGAGTACTTAATAGAGGATGTTGGTTGGGTTGTTACTCAATCAAAAAGTGCTTTTTGGGCCTTTATTTAGCTAGTGATTCTTCCCGGAGCGATGGCTGTATTTTCTATATGGCAAGTTTTACCAGGCTCTGTGCGATTTCTTTTAAAGTATGTTTTAAATCCCCGAAAATTTGTCTACAAAGTCCTTTCATCTCACAATTCTCAGAGTTGGTCAGCAATGGCTACCACTCTTGCCACAAACATAATGTGTTCATTCTGTTTTAAAAGCACTTATTCCACATCCATTTCACTTACGCAGCGTGCAGGGATTAAACCTGGGTCTTGAGCAAAGGCTAGGCATCTAGGCCAAGCACTGTACCACTGACTACATCCAGCTCCTTCTCTAGTTACTCAATGCCACCTCAGTGCTGTGTACTCTAGATTTGCAGTGTTCACGAAGTCCATAAAACCCACACATGGGCCCTTTACGCTAGAGTGGTCCCAATCCACTTCTGAGGAGGACATTGGACGTTGAGTTCCAAAGCTGGAAGCAACAAAGCCATCAGGTGAGCAGGAAGAAGAGCAGTCCTATTGAGATAAAGAAAACAACAGTGATGTGTTTTATAACTTCTAATATGAATTCCCTAACACTTCACCCTGTTTTGTTTAAAATTAAGAGGACCTTTTTTGTGTACATTTTGTTAAAAGAAACTGTTTTTTAAAAAAGTCCAAAAATCTCTGTGCTGGAACCACCTGTAATCCCAGCACTAGGAAAACTAAGGCAGGAGGATGCGTGAGTTCAAGGGCAGCTTGGGCTACATAGTGAGATCCTGTTCCAAAAGTAATTAATTAATTGCAAATTTGCATGCGCAGAGAATCTTGCCACTAAAAAGATTTTACTGACATGATTTACAGCACATTCTGGCTTATATAAATTTAAAGTAATGAGCCTTTAACACAGCTTTGAGTCCTTCTTCTCTAATGTATGTTTCTAAATGTATATGTGCTATTTTGATTTAAAATGAATCATGTTGTCTTAGTGCAAGTCATATATAATAAAGACTTATTGGGTCCACAGAGGTTTTCTCTTTGAAGTTAAATATTCCCTAAATTGGGAATAGAAATGTGCTCATTATTCCCCTCATCCTCCCTCCATAAACATTGAACCCTTCTCTACTCTCAAATGTTTCAAGTCTTCTGTTTAGAGAAAGATGAGTACAATTATAGAAGTTCTCAGAGAGCTTTGTTTGAGATTTGTAGTATAAATAGCCTATTTGACATAAAAAGCAGGCAATTGTACTAATCTATGCATTCAGTGGATTTTTTTTTTGATTCAGGAATGGACCAGACTTACTGTGACAAAGTTGAATATATGACTGATTAGTTTTCCCCAAATAAATTGTCTATATGTATGAAGGACCTGCTCCTCGCATCAGAACTCGTAATATACCTCAGGATTTTTTTACCTGTAAGTATGAAGACACCTATATGAAGAAAAAAAAAAGGTAAAACTGAAAGTACACAACCACGCTCCCAGATTCTGACAGCATTACAGATGACTAGTCTCCTTCTGAACTTTTTGGAAGCCACAAGAAGCCAAATTGAGAAGTTCATGTTCAAGTACAGTCAGTCCTGCAGTTCAGAGAACTATCTTAGACTGGCAGGTTAACATATATTCTACTTCATTCTTTAATGCTACAGTAATTTTTTTGTTTGAAATCACTTTTATTTAATTGTACCAGATCATAAAATATAATAAATTTAAACATGGTGTGTTCAAGTTTCACCTTCTGCTAACATTTTTTTCCAGTGGTTCAAGTAATCCATTGTAATGTGATCATTTTTTCTTTTAAACAGTTAATTCTGAAAAAATGTTTAGGAACCTCAGTGTGAGTAGCAGTATAATTAATGTAAATCTAACCTTAATCTAAGGCCTTTATTCTGGGTTTTTGAGAAATTTTTGTTAATATATTTTGACTTTGAGCCGCTTGTGATTTATTTATCTATTTTATTTTTAATTTCATTTTTATTGAGGACGGATTTGAGACCAGGGCCCAAACTGGCCTCAACTCACATCTTCCTGCCTGAGCCTTCCTATTGCTGGGATTATAGGCTGTACCACCACACCCTGCTTATAAATTACTCCTGGTACTCCCCATCAGCATTCATATTAGTTGCTTTTATCTTAGGAAATTAGTAGGAGGTGACAAGGTCATGAAGTCCTTTTCACTGAGAGGCTGATGTCCCATTCAAAAGGGATGTACTAGTGAGAGTTGGGTTGCACTATTTTCTTGGTTTTTGTTAACAATTTTGTAACAAATATTAAGTCATGTTTAATTTAATATGAGATCCACTGCAAGTTCAAAACGTAGAATGACCATCAAAACAGAAACCTTTGGAGTGTTGAATTTCTTTTTCTCTTACACCTTTATAAATAGGCGATCTTGAATAACTGATAGACAATCTCACCCCTGCTGGTGAAGTGTATACATTCAGTATTGATGCTGCTTGGAAGGATAGTTAAGAATTTTCAGCATGTGGGTTCTCTAAACTCACATACTTTCTTTTTTTCCATCACTTCATGATCTATATGTAGCTGAAGTTCAGTTGAGAAGAAGGATAAATCTCTAACAATCCTAGCAGTGTAAGAGGACTGAGTAAACACAGACTTTGGGAAAGTCCTTCATGTGGCATGGCAGATACAAACTGGGTCTGGAGCCACAGAGTCCCAGGAAATGGGTCACTATTTTATTATCCCCAGGGAATGTTTCACGCGGACCTGACCTGATAGAGCTTACACTGTACAGCACAACCAGACATGAACTGGCAACTGTTTAGGTTCAAAACGCAGTGTCAACATAAGGGACACTGCCACCAACTTTATTGTTAAAGTGACCAAAATTTTATCTTAACTCTGGGATCATCGTCTTGAATTGTCAAATGCAAAACATAACCATGCACTCTTTCAGAAGTTAGCATTGTACCCCCAATTTTCTCTAGATCTACTTTAGCTAATCCAGGGAGAAAAGTGTGATGAGTCAAATTGTTGTCCTCAGAGGCAAGTCTGTCTCCTTCCCACTCAGGGGACAGCTGTATACTCAGCAGCTGCCATCACGTGCCCTCCTGGAAGTCACAAAAATATTGGCTTAATAATTAGGAAGTCATGATAAATGAAAAAGTAGAAAAACAAGAGTCTAGAAAAAATACAAAAGAGGCAAGGGAAAAATGGAGAAAAATATGTGTATAATTAGTGCTTTTCTCATTCGTCTTTCATTCTACAATGTCACTTTACTCTTCCATTTCCTGTATTTCTTTTAAATTTTGTTTTTGTAAGTACCACTTCAATTGTTTCTTATTTTCCATTGAGTATGAAATAATAGCACCATAGGCTTATTTTTTTAATTATTTTATTTATTTAAATTTAATTTTATTGTTTTTACATTTACTCACATGTGTATACATTGTTTGCCCCCCCACAGGCTTATTAATATAGATGAGATATTGTGGTTTAAAATATGTGAGAAAATGAGGAAATAGAAGACCTGTCATTTCTTATCTTACTTGTATGTTTATTATCTTCCCTCTTGTTTCTCAAGAGGTCAGGACAGAAAGTTTTTTTGAGTCCTATTTCTCATTTCTTATTTTTCTTTTGTATGACTAGATACCAATGTGATCTGCATTTTTACAGTGCTAAAATATGTTGCATAGTTGCAGTAATAGTTATTAAAGAAAAGCAGTTTTAAATTAAATTTACTTCCATCTACGATAAACCTGTGAACTTTATAAAGACTATAAACTTTAAAAACTTTTAAAACTGTGAACTTTATAATGACTATTTAACAGATAAACTGAGTCAGCGGGGAAATTTTTTTGGTGCAATTAAATCATTTTTAAAAATTTTGCCCATATCTATAACATGTTATATGCTTTTCATATATAATTTAGACTCAAAAATTTTAAATATCATTCTAAATCTAAATATATCTATTTTTCATCAAAAAAGAAGGGGAAGTTAAGGCTTGAGATACATACCTGGGAATAAAAACTTAAAGCATCAAACACCTAATCATAATTTAAATCAAAAATTTAAATTCAATTATGTAATTATTTAAATTATTCAATTACTTAATTTCAATTTTAATCATTACAGCAGTAATAGCAATTGTCAATAGGGAGTCTTACCATGCAGAGAATAGATTTAATGTTTTTCTGGCCAAACTTAAATCTTTAAAAAACTTAAAACTTTTTAAAAAGTGCTTAAAAAATTGCCTTAGAAGCTGAAATTTTGTGAATTAATTTGCATATGTTATGTTTCATGGGAATGATATTAACTCTTCTTTTTCAGTGCCGGAAACCCAGTCAGCATTTCAAGCCCTATTTGACTCCTGATTTGCCAAAACGACTGCACTATGCCAACCATGTCAGAATCGACAAGGCTCATCTCCTGGTGGATCGGCAGTGGCTGGCTACAAGGTGCGTGTGTCTGTTACCATGCTTTTCCTAACTGTCTTTCGTCATAAGTTTACTTAATCTTACCTTGCTGTTAGGATCATGCAAACTTTCCTGACCTTTGACATTTTCTTTACCTTTTCATGCTGTCTAGCACTTCTGCATTTGAAGTTGTTCCTGTCAGGTGGCATTCTAATCTTTACCACAGCCATGAGAGTGGGGAGTCCTGGTCCAGACTGTTCCAGCCACTGCTCTGGAGGCATCCATAACACACATTGCTACTCAGCTGTCACATCCCTGAAGGCAGCAGAGAGAATAAAGATGCCACCAGGCTGGGATGGAGTGACCGATCTGATAGCTCTTTTAAGGTCTTTGTCATCGTCCTAGTTTTCATAAAGTAGTCTTTTGGTGGCTGTGAAGCCAAGTTAACCTATTAGTTGTACCATTTACCTCTTCTTTCTAGTTATAACTCTACTTTGTGCTATTCATCAGGCATTTACAAACTATAAATGTTCTTAAAGAAAATAAAACCATTCTGAATCACTCTATCCCAAATAACCAATGACTTATTGGATGTGACAAAAGTTTAGCTAATGCTTGCTATGTGTGTGTCAGGCCTTGTCTTAAGCATTTGGAATATAGATGTGATTCCTGCCTTGTGGAGAACAACTCTGGTGGAGAAAACTGGTAATAAGCCAGGAAACAAATGCATGCCAGGAAACACTTTCTGTTAGCTAAATAAATGATTCTTAATTTTGTGTTTCATTCCAGTATTTTTTCCATGTGCATAAGTGACTATAAATAGGACTAGGATCAAACAGAATTTTATGGTCTAACATACATGAATACAACATTTGCCAAGGGGTACAATGACAATGGGAAGATAGTGGCCAGAAGATATGTTTGCTAAAGAGGAGATGAAAGAGCACAAGAGTTGGGCTTTAATACATATATGCAGGACTAAGAAGGAAGGATGGCAGGGCCTATTTAAGATAAATGCTAATACACTGCTCATCCACAGTATGCAGTTCCATGCTTGGACACTAGATGACACTGACCTCTCTCCTTGCAATCAGAGTTTCTCTAGCTCTCTGTCAGCTATGGTGATGTGGCTCAGGATAACATTGTCTAAAAGTGTTTCCCTGAAATATGTGAACAAAATTCAGCTTTCACACAAGATTGTTAGTAACTGTGGTATATAATATATAAATAAATAGATGTTAAAATAGGGGTGTGTGCTCCAAATATTTACTGTAAGGGTTATGAAATGAAAGAGGATAGGAGGCCACTGGGACTGAATGAGAAATGATAGAAGAATCCAGCCGCCATAATACCTCTAGGCATCGTGCATTAGCGTTCAGCCTCAAATGATGAGTTTTGTGCCTTTTCTACAACTAGCAGTGAGATGTAAAAAGAGCAGTGGCCTGAGAGCCCAAGGGAACACGAGTGTCTTAAGTCTTCATTTTCCTCATCAATAGCTTCATTATTCCCTTGCTGTTAACTTACAAGGTGTACTAACTCACACCTCAGGAAAATAAATAGAACGGGACAAGAACAACTGAGGAATCAGCCTGATTTGACCCAAACTACGTTCATACGAGTCTGAAAATATGACTCTCAGGCTACTTACTTTCTAAGCTAAACTATGTCATCTTTAGTAATAATGTGCACTATTTGATAGATTAGGTTCTCTTTTATAGCAAATTTCAAAAATTAGTGGAGTCTGTTTCCGTCATCTTCAGCCTTGTCAGATTTTTACTAATTTTGGAAAACCCAGTTGTTTGAAAAATTGTTAAAGTGCTTTTTTAAAATAGAGAACATGAGTAATAGCTTAATAGCTTTTTATTTTGGCATAGCAACTGACAAATACATCCCAGTCACCTCTCTAAGTCCTAAAAATGACAGACACGGTTCTTACCCCAAGTGGGAAGGAAGACAAACAGGTGTGTGATCACCACTGTGTTAGAACCAAGTACAAGGTTCAGGGAAGCAAAAGTGATGACATACTCAGGTGTTGGTGTCAGGGAAGATCAGGAAAGACTTCCTGGTAGGGGTGGTTCCTGACCTGGGTTCTGAAAACTTGGGATGGCATAGGCTGAACATGCAATATTGCAGGTCTGCCCCATGCGTCTGTGCATGATAGAAGACACACAACCAGGAAGGTGAGTGGGAATAGACATTAAATCCTTGCTCAGCTCATGTCCTTCAAGAGGGGCTTTGTCCTCTGGATATGCTCAGAGCAGTTGGGGTCTTTTGTAAAACTAGCTGCAGCCCAGGAGCAAGAAGGGTAGAGAGAAGGGGGCAGGGTCCCAGAGAGAAAAACTAGATCCCAGCAATCACTAGCAGTGGCGTATTGATGGAGAAGTGAGTGAATGTAGCTGCCCTCTGTCATGATTGAGGGGTGTGACTTTGATCTTGAAGAAAGTGGGAGATACACAGTAACTTCAGGTGCATACAGTGGGATTTGCATTTCAGAGAGCTCATTCTTACTGCTCTATGGAACAGGATGGTGGCCTACATAAAGATGTGTAGTGACCTTGTGGTGTCATGGCAGATCCAAGAGAGGCTGTGGAACCCTGGGGAAGGTGAAATTAGTTATACAACAACATCACCAGGAAGTTATGACCCAGATTTTCCAGGACATTCTTGGTTCTTCATATCCAGTCCCAAATTTGTATTCATGATAACATATATTTCCATTTCCAGCAGTGGTTAAATAGTATACAAAAGATTAGGGACATGTATGTTTTGCGGAAAGATCCTGCAGTTCTAAAAGCAAGATGATTAGTTAGGGAACTTCAGAGGTGATGAGGATCTAGCCTGGAATGATGGTAGTAGAAGAGGAAAGAAAAGGACCATCAGGAAGGAGATCCCAAAGAGCTAGGACTTGGAGACCACTTGGGTCTCAGCTGGGAAGTCTTGTTCATCAAGCATGTATGTCATTACCCAGCTGTGGAAGAGAAACACAGCTTTGATCTCAGATGAGTTAATTAGACAGGGAAAAGATAATAGAACATTTGTTCCACAAGATTTCATAGAGTACTTGGAAGTCGAGCTCAGTTATGACAGATAAAATCAGCTCACCTTTTCCAAATCCCAGCTCTCATTTTTCCATAAGCAATTTCCACTCAAATTAATGGCTGGAAGGCAAGAACATGAATAGCTGGAAGAACAAATTTCTGAAGTTTTTACTTGGAAAACAGTAGAAATTAAAGCTTTTTCAAAACTAAGTTTTACATTTTGCTTCTCAGCAAAATTTTACAAGACTTTTTAAATTAAATTGGGTTAGGAGATAGAAATATAAAAATACTAGATTTTTCTGAAACTAGAAAGCTATATATAGGACCAATTTATAGAACGTTTTAACAAAGTCTCAGTTCAAAAGACCTCTTCTTTCATTCATAAATAAACACTCTAACTTTCCACATAGAATTTAAAACTTATTTATCTCCAGTCATATACTTCCAGTAACTGCAGGAAACCAAATATCTGTGCAATAAGGATAAAAATATATTTTAAAACCAGTTTGACCCTATGCCAACAGTTTTATTGCTCATACCCTTAGGGTAATCAACTTAAAGTAGGACTCCTCTTGTTTCCCAGTAATGGGTGGACTGTAGCCTGGTCAGAGTTGCAACTCTTTGTCTTGTGATTTATTTTATTGTCTACTTCAAATGAGTGGGAATCAGTTATGAATTTTTAAAATGCTGATTTTTTTAAAGGTGCTAAATTGCTCACTCTTTCTTAGTAGAGACTTCAATGTAAACACAAACAGAAACTGTGGTGTGTGTGTGTGAGTGTGAGAGAGAGAGTCCTGTGTGTGAGTGTGAGAGAGTATTTGCCCTTGGTGGTGAGGGAGGGGCAGAGCGAGGGTGGGGAAATAAATGAGAGAAACCTTTTAAGGCCAGCTTATGAAATTTACAGTTTTGTTCCCTTCAGAAGCCAAATGTGAACCAGCACAATATTGTTGTCTTAAGAAAATCTAAGTTCATTTATCACTATTTTTTCTAAACCTGAAAAATAACCATACATAAAATCGCTGACACTGCTCAGTTCAAATATTAAAATATGAAAGGTACACACAAGATATATTAATTATATTTGAAAAGTTATTCAAACAAAGCAACAGCTTTTGGAAGAAATTTCCATAAGTTAAAAAAATAAACTCTGAATTTACAGAATTGAGTAGCTTCTCCTTACCAAGTGTTATAATTAACTTACTCTGAGGACTCTTTTATTTTTTTTTTATTGTTGTTCTAGGTGAGGTGCATTGTACCATTTACAAAAGCTCTTACAACACATCAAATATATCATGCTTGAATTCACCCCCTCCACCATTCCCCTTTATCCCCTCTTCCTCCCATTCACTCTGAGTATTTTTTATCCATGTTTTCCTATTTAACTTCCTGTAAAATAAGAATCAAGATATTTCTTAGTTCCAACAACTTATTCCTGAAGCATTAAAATGCTTACAGTAACTCATCATTTTCTCTTCCCCACCATGTCACCATTGATGTGTAAAGGTGCAGCTGAGCTTGAAGGTGAATTCTTTTAATCTGCGCTCTGATTTTATTCTTTGTTGAAGTCTAAGAATCAAAATATTTTGACTCTACTCATAGAATTCTCTTTCCTTCTATACTACCATTTTATTCCTCTGTAGCTATGAATTTGAGCATGGAAATGTATGCTGTTGTTGGTAGATAAAAGCAAAGAGTTTTATATTAAAGCAGATGCTACATGAAACTCCAGTAATTTACAATAGTGCCTCAAATCAGTATACCGATTGACATAAAAATATCATTTCTCCATAGGAGTAAATCAAGTTCCAGCTGTGGAGGAGGCAACCATGGCTACAATAATGAGTTCAAGAGCATGGAGGTAACACCCTGCTGTTCTTAAACAGACCTAACTCAGCAGTGTGGCAGACAATGTATAGGACTCAGCCACAATGGGGAACAGTGCTCTCGCCCTCACGAAGCTTTATTTTGGATGGAGATAATGGGCGTGATAAAGGGATGTATGATTTGGCACATTAGGTGAAGCGAGATGGGAAGTGAAGAGAAAGAAAGAGCAAGTAAGGGCAAATGTTTGGTATGCACCTTTAAACAGGGAAGAAGGGACCAGAGGCACTGAGGTGACCTTTGAGCAGAGATTTGAAGGAGGTGAAGGAATTAGCCTTACAAATGTTTAGGAAAGGAGTGGCCCAGGGAGAAGAAACAGGATGTGCCTGATGTACAGGGCACAAGAGGGCCTTCGTGAGCTGTTGGAAAGTGATCAGTTAGGACCCGACTCCTTTGGAGAGAAGGAGCAAGAGGACAGCTAGACATGTTGAATTTGAAATATTTATTAAGCATGCAAATAGAGACATTGAATTGACGGTTAAAGAGAAGGGTCTATGCTGGAAATAAAAATTGAGTCTTAGGCATAGAGATTACTTAAACATGTACCTGGGCATGGTGGTACATGCCTGTGGTAGGAAGATCATAGTTTGAAGCCAGGCTGGGCAAAAAGTCAGTGAGACCCTATCTCAAAAACAAGCCCAGGGTGGTGGTTCACTGCTGCAATCCCAGCTACGTGGACGGTGGAGTTAGGATGGCCCAAGCAAAAGCTTGAGAATTTCTCTGAAAAACAAACTAAAGCAAAAAGAGCTAGAGGCATGGCTCGCTCAAGAGGTAGACCTCTTGTCTAGCAAGTGCCGGGCTGTGAGTTCAAATCCCATACTGCCAATATGTGCAATCAGCTAAACTCCTTAATTCTAGGTGGATTGATTGTAGACAGGAGGACCAAAGGTTGAATGTGGGCCCTTCCACTTGAAGAGGTTGGGAGAAAAGAAACCCAGGAGTAGAGGCACTGATGAGGGAGAAGGGAATACAGGGCTGTGCGCAGCTTGAAGCCCAGGGAAGCAAGTGCTCAGAAGGGTCTATGGGAAGAGCACAGCTGATCCGCAGCCACGCAGAGCTCTGTGAGTTTTGCTGTCTGTCTTGCCTTGCATTTGTAATGTACACTCATGTGTGAACACACATGCTTGTGCACACAGAAAGCACCTTAGACTCTGAACACACTGCTTCTTAGCACTGTCTCGGTGAAGTGGACCTTTTCATAAATATTTGAAAAAAATTCTGAATGTAAAGCTTTTCTATTAACTAGGGTGCTACATAATATTAAAATTAATGGCTGAAAGAAAAGCCCATGACTTCCATTCTTTGCTGATTATCTTGTAAAGAATGTACACATCCTCTCAACAGAAAAGAATTACTTATCTATGCTCCGCACTTCTCTTCTTGTTTACAATAGAAAACAATTAGATCTGTTACAAATAAAATAAATTGGCATTAGTTAAATATAAGTCAAAATATTTAAACCTCTTCATCTCAAAAATAAAAAGGAGATGTTTGAGACATAAGCAGGTTAGGATGTTTTACAAAAAATTAAAACTTAAAATGTCATCATTTTTGTGATATATTAACATATTTAAGCAATGACATGAAAGGTGTACAAAAAGAGAATATGGTGTTGTTTAGTGAATCCCTCCCTCTTTCCCTTCCGTTCTTTTCTTCCCTTCCTTCCTTCCTTTTTTTTGGTGAGACTGGGATTTGAACTCAGAGCTTTACAAGCTCTACTGCTTGAACCACACCTCTGGTTATTTTGGAGATAGGCTTTCATGAATTATTTTCACAGGCTGGCCTTGAACCACAATCTTCTTGATCTCAGCCTCCAAGTAGCTGGGATTACTGGCGTGAGCCACTGGCACCTGGCTATCAGATGAGTTTCTAGTATGTGTCAAGGGGACGTAGAATAACGGTGAATAATGGTGATCTGTTGTCCACTGTGGCTTGTGTCCTCCTAGTCTGCTGACATTTGGGGTGCTGAGACGCTGGTAGAGACAGAAGTAAACCCTTCATGGGTTGTATTTGATTGGATTTAGCACAAGTCATAGGAAGAAATGATTCGAAAACCATTTTTTAAGTCTGAAAAGAAATCCTGACAAAGGCCTAAGATTCAGATAGCACAGTTGTCACAGAAGGAAAATTGTCTTTCTGAACTTGCTTGTGAGCTTACATGTCATCAAATAATAATGATGCATGGTTACCACTAGGCTATCTTCTTGGCCCATGGACCCAGTTTTAAAGAAAAGACTGAAGTTGAACCATTTGAAAATATTGAAGTCTATAATCTAATGTGTGGTAAGTATTTGTAAATAAATTCATCAGCAAAAGGTGGATAGTCTTTAACATATATAATTTGAAACGGGGGATAGATTGAATCCCTTAGGCTAGATGCTCTGCATTAGCAAGACAAAAAGTAACCAGACATGGTGGTAGACACCTATAATCCAAGCTACTCAGGAGGTAGAAACTGGGAGGATCAAGAGGCTAGCCTGGGTAGAAAGTTGGTAAGACTTCATCTCAACGAATAAGTTGGGCATGGTGGGTCATGTCTGTAAACACAGCTATTTGAGAGGCATGGGTAGGAGGATCACAGTCTGAGGCTGGCCTTGAGGCAAAAAAAAGAGAGAGAACAAAACAAAACAAAAAAGGCTAGGAGTGTGGATCAAGTGGTAGAGTGCCTGACTAGCCAGTACAAGAACTTGAGTTCAAACCCCAGGACTGGAAGAAGAAGAAGGAAAAGGACAAAAAAAGAAGAGAATTCTTTTTCTGCTTTAGTAGCAATGAAAAACTTAGATCTTAGGAAAACTAATACACTGTTCATACATAATCATATAATTTCACAAAATTTAGAAAAATAAACTAACACTTCCAACTTTTCAAAGCAAGGCAAACCCACTTAAAAACAGAAGTATTTTACAATTGCAAAGAGAAGTCTTCCAGCATAAAAGGGATGGTAAGAATGTCCTGTTTGGGTACATACTTGGTATGGTTAAAAAAGTAAAGATTTAGGGTTTAGGGAACCTGATCTGTCTATCCACATGCTTGCCTCAGTCTGTTGTATGGTCACATCATTTGCCAGGCAAGGTAAGCAGACAGCTGCAATTTCACCAGTTAAACAGGCTCACAGTTATTTCTCTTAACCATGTTACTGATTTGTCATAATTGAATGTGACCTAGAGACCAAAACCCCACCCATTTAAAACTAATGTTGCAGTCTTAATGACAAAAGTTCTTGATTCCCACCACTGTGTTTGTGGTCAGGATTGCTGGCCTTTTGTGGAGATGATAACAAGGAACTAAGATAGGACTCCAGTCCAAGGGCAGATGTCTTAGGCGGTACCCACCAGGAGTTACTTAAAAGACTATGTTGGTAAAAATATTTGTGTGCTTTATTTATGCAGAAAAAAATGTTTAATTCTCTAAATATAAAGCAAAATTCCCTAGTTTAATTTTGAAAAAGTATCCATTCTTGGAGAATTTTTTTGTATAAGTAAGCATACTTAGTAAGATCATAAACTATTTAACTTTGTTAAACTTATTTTTATTAAGGTTTAGGGCTTAGGGATGTGGCCCAAGTGGTAGAGTACCTGCACGAGGCCCTGGGTTCAATCCCCAGTACTAAAATTTAAAAAAGTATAGATTTTGTGCTAGAAAACCATGGTATGCTTAAGGAAAAAGCGATCATCTAAGCAAAGAAACCTTTCTCTGGAGGAGCAGGAAAAGTTCATGGACATTCCTGTGGCTCTTCTGTGCGGACACTGTTCCACTCAGGGCTAGATGTGGGGGCCGGGGGATGGAAGTCAGTGAATGGAATGGCACAAGCAGTGCATGACAGCACTGAAGGCACAGTCTATTAAAGACACAAAACAGTAGGTGTTTGTTTCTCGCATTTCCCACATAGGAGCTCCTGTTTAAAGTGACTCTGAACTTACTTTTTAAAACAGATCTTCTACACATTCAACCAGCACCGAACAATGGTACCCATGGCAGTCTGAACCATCTTTTGAAGGTGCCTTTTTATAATCCATCTCACACAGAGGAAGTGTCAGAGTCATCTGTTTGTAACTTTACCATCCCAGTGCCCGCAGACACCCTGGGCTGTTCATGCACTGAGCTTGGAAACACTGTAAGTAACAACATTGTGTGTCCACAAGACCAGAAAGGGGCAAGCTGATCTATAACCCAGGTAGCCAACAATCAGGCTTGAGTTGTGCTTGGATATTTACTAAGTAAGTATATGTGGTTTCTCTGAACTTCATCTGGAAATGCAAGATTATAATGCATACATTAAAAGATCAACCAGGCACGTGTGCTTTGGAAACCAGAAAGCACTATTTGGAAAGGAATTGTTAGTTCCATTGTGAGATAAGAGACCTTGACAACTCAGAATAGTAATCTTGGAGCTCTCTGATTTCTCTCATAGACCATACTTACAGTTTAAGAATAGGATAGTCATGCTTTGCCATTTATTTTTTTTTTTTTTTTTATTGTTGTTTGTTTTCTTTTTTTTTTTTTTTTTTTTCATTTTTCTTTTATTATTCATATGTGCATACAAGGCTTGGTTCATTTCTCCCCCTGCCCCCCCCCTCCCTTACCACCCACTCCACCCCCTCCCGCTCCCCCCCTCAATACCCAGCAGAAACTATTTTGCCCTTATCTCCAATTTTGTTGTAGAGAGAGTATAAGCAATAATAGGAAGGAACAAGGGGTTTTGCTGGTTGAGATAAGGATAGCTATACAGGGCATTGACTCACATTGATTTCCTGTGTGTGGTGTTACCTTCTAGGTTAATTCTTTTTGATCTAACCTTTTCTCTAGTTCCTGGTCCCCTTTTCCTATTGGCCTCAGTTGCTTTAAGGTATCTGCTTTAGTTTCTCTGCGTTAAGGGCAACAAATGCTAGCTAGTTTTTTAGGTGTCTTACCTATCCTCACCCCTCCCTTGTGTGCTCTCGCTTTTATCATGTGCTCATAGTCCAATCCCCTTGTTGTGTTTGTCCTTGATCTAATGTCCGCATATGAGGGAGAACATACGATTTTTGGTCTTTTGAGCCAGGCTAACCTCACTCAGAATGATGTTCTCCAATTCCATCCATTTACCAGCGAATGATAACATTTCGTTCTTCTTCATGGCTGCATAAAATTCCATTGTGTATAGATACCACATTTTCTTAATCCATTCATCAGTGCTGGGGCATCTTGGCTGTTTCCATAACTTGGCTATTGTGAATAGTGCCGCAGTAAACATGGATGTGCAGGTGCCTCTGGAGTAACAGTCTTTTGGGTATATCCCCAAGAGTGGTATTGCTGGATCAAATGGTAGATCGATGTCCAGCTTTTTAAGTAGCCTCCAAATTTTTTTCCAGAGTGGTTGTACTAGTTTACATTCCCACCAACAGTGTAAGAGGGTTCCTTTTTCCCCCACATCCTCGCCAACACCTGTTGTTGGTGGTGTTGCTGATGATGGCTATTCTAACAGGGGTGAGGTGGAATCTTAGTGTGGTTTTAATTTGCATTTCCTTTATTGCTAGAGATGGTGAGCATTTTTTCATGTGTTTTCTGGCCATTTGAATTTCTTCTTTTGAGAAAGTTCTGTTTAGTTCACATGCCCATTTCTTTATTGGTTCATTAGTTTTGGGAGAATTTAGTTTTTTAAGTTCCCTGTATATTCTGGTTATCAGTCCTTTGTCTGATGTATAATTGGCAAATATTTTCTCCCACTCTGTGGGTGTTCTCTTCAGTTTAGAGACCATTTCTTTTGATGAACAGAAGCTTTTTAGTTTTATGAGGTCCCATTTATCTATGCTATCTCTTAGTTGCTGTGCTGCTGGGGTTTCATTGAGAAAGTTTTACCTATACCTACTAACTCCAGAGTATTTCCTACTCTTTCTTGTATCAACTTAAGAGTTTGGGGTCTGATATTAAGATCCTTGATCCATTTTGAGTTAATCTTGGTATAGGGTGATATACATGGATCTAGTTTCAGTTTTTTGCAGACTGCTAACCAGTTTTCCCAGCAGTTTTTGTTGAAGAGGCTGCTATTTCTCCATCGTATATTTTTAGCTCCTTTGTCAAAGATAAGTTGCTCATAGTTGTGTGGCTTCATATCTGGATCCTCTATTCTGTTCCACTGGTCTTCATGTCTGTTTTTGTGCCAGTACCATGCTGTTTTTATTGTTATTGCTTTGTAATATAGTTTGAAGTCAGGTATTGTGATACCTCCTGCATTGTTCTTTTGACTGAGTATTGCCTTGGCTATTCGTGGCCTCTTGTGTTTCCATATAAATTTCACAGTAGATTTTTCAATCTCTTTAATGAATGTCATTGGAATTTTGATGGGAATTGCATTAAACATGTAGATTACTTTGGGGAGTATCGACATTTTTACTATGAGTAGAGAGAGAGAGTAGAGAGAGTAGGGGTTGCAACCTGGTGGTAGACACAGTCACTTGGAGTGGGTGGTATGGGTGGCAGTGGAAAATTGCTATCAGTCAACACTTGATGCTAACTGACAACAGTGGCACTGGAAAGATCTTTTTAGTAGATCAATCACTGGTCCAAGTCCAGAGCAAGACTTCAGATCCCAAGAGACTTTTGACAAGGTGAAGTTCAAGTGATAGACAGGACCCCAAGTGCAAGGAGTCAGAATAGGAACTCAAAATACAAGGACCAAGCCCATCTGTGAGAATCAGGGCACATGGGTGTGGTTGGAATTGCAGAATGAAATTGGAGTCCATGTATTAGGAGTCTACCAAGCTCAAACTAATGTCAATATACATTTGAAGTTTGATGTCAAGTTCAAAATATGGTTGGAGAGCTAAATAAATACTTGGTGTCACAGGTAAGAATTATTCCTTTTTGTTAAGGATCAGTGAAGACCATATATTTTTTTTTTAAGACAGTCTTGCTGGCCTGGAACTTTCATCCTTCAGCCTCAGCTGAAGACTTTACATTTTCTAATCCTCAAAATAACATTGCACCCATACATAAATAAGTACCCAATTGAAAAAGACTTCAAGGTACAAAACTCCAGTAAGATTTGTAATAATAATGAATCCACAGTAAAGATCAGAATGGGGTGGAGAGCTGGGAGCTCCGACCTGTTGTTTGCATCACGTTAGTGGCAAGTTACTACCTGGGACTCCAGATAATAGACTGCCATTGAAATTAATAACAACATAAAGTAGGTAATTTTTTCCTCATTTTAGAAATAAAGAGGGCTCAGAGAAGAGAAGTAATTTGTCCAAGGTCACAGAAGTCGGTCTACCTGACTGTAAACAGGGTTTCTCTCTATAAAGAATGCTTCCTGCTACTCAGTGTGATACAGAACCTCAGATCCGTCCCCAGGTTTTCTGAATCAAAATCTGCCCCTTAACAGCCCCCCAGGGGTCTGTATCAAAACCCAAGAGGCACTGAGCTCTCATCCCACCTCAGTTGTTGACTCCCGCTGTGGTGGGATGAATGTGTGTCGTTATGAATTATACGTTGGCAAACTCCTGCGTGCACGTGCGCACACACATGCACAGGGTTGGGGGCAGTGGCAGTTTACATTTCTGAGTAGAGACAGAATGGGAATTTAAACCTAAGTTAGTCTGGGTTATTTGCAGTAGTAAAAACACTATGCAATTATTGTATGAATAACCATGACCGTTCTTAAAACACTGATCATCTTGATTTACTTCCTCCCTTCCCTGCTCATTCATTGTCTTGCAGACTACCCAAGTAGAAGATGTGAATCAAATGCTAAATCTCACCCAGGAAGAAAGTAAGTCAGTAGAAACTATGTTAAGTGTTTGATGTTTAGAACTAAAGAAACACAACATTGCTCTTTTGAGATTTTCCAAAATAAGCTCACAGAGGTTTTTTAGTATAGATTTCATTGCCAATATACAAGAGGGAAAAAACCCTGCAGTTCTAAGAACAAAGAGTAGCAAGCATGGGGAGGGTTACAGCAGTTCTGGGGACATGATTAATTCCTTGAAATGGTTGTGCCTTATGAACAGTCCCCTACTCCTTTTCTAAGATGTGAGCAGACCAAAATGCCTGGGTTTGAACTCTGCCTCAGCTGCTTCCTGGCTGTGTAAACTGGGATAAATCACCTACCCTCCCTGTGCCTCAGTGTCCTCGTCTATAGTGACTGTACCCACCTCATGTGGTGTAACAACAATTAAGAGTTAATCTTGGGAAGGACTTACAACAGTCTTGACCTGTAGCAATATTACTATTGCTTGTTATCACTAAGAATTAGTGTATAAACTCACTAGGCCTCAGTTTCATTGTTTATCAAATGGGGATACAGTCGTTCCTTGGTATCTGCAGAGGATTTGTTCCAAGGCTCCCTGCAGATAACCAAAATCTGAGGATGCTCAAGTCCCTTACGTGAAATGGTACAGTATTAGTATATAACCTGTGCACCTCCTCCCATAAACTTACGTCATCTGTGGATTACTTATAATACTTAATACAATGCAAATGCCAGGCAAATCATACTGTATTGTTTAGGGAAGAATAAAAAGAAGTCTTTACATGCTTGGTACAGATGCAATTTTTTCTAAATATTTCCAATCTGTGGTGATTGAATCCATATAATAACATACAAATAAAAGTAAACAAAATCACTAGGACATTCAGTTCATCTGTTTAGACTGCTAAAACAAAACACTACAAATAAGGTGACTTAAAAATAACAGAATTTATTTCTCAAAGTTCTGAACTCTGAGAAGCTCAAGATCAAAGTGTCTATGGATTTAGTGTCTGGCACGACCCACTTCTTCACAGATGGGCTTCTCATTCTCACCTCACATAGAAGAAGAGGCAAGGAATCCCTCTGAGCTGTCTTTTAAGGCACTACTTCCATTTATGTGGGCTCCATGACCTAATCACCTCCCACAGGCCTCACTTGTGAATGCCGTCACATTGGAGCTCAGATTTCAACATGATTTGGGGGAGGTCATAGAAGACATACTCTTTATAAGTTTCCAGTATCTTTCCTATGATCATTATTAGAGCAGGTCATGTTTGTTATAAATGTGCGCTTTTGGTTTTGAGGTTTTATCTCTCGAGAGCTGTAAAATGTAAGGGGCCAAAGACAGCAGGTTTGCTTGGCCAAGTTACTTATTTAAGCCTTAGTTTTGTGATCTATAGAATCGGATAATAACACCTACCTGCTAAGGGTGTAAGATTTAAAAGAGATTAAGTACATAAGATATTAAAATATGTCAGAATACATGGCACACAGGCCACCAGAGACTATAATTAGAAGCATTTGCTAATTTCACAAATGTTTTAATTTTATGTTATTTTTATTTTAGTAACAGCAACAAAGGAAGTAAATTTGCCATTTGGGAAGCCCAGGGTAATGCAGACAAACATGGACCACTGTCTCCTCTACCATAGGGAGTACATCAGTGGGTTTGCTAACGTTATAAGGATGCCCATGTGGAGCTCATACACGGTCCCCATGCCGGTAAGCTATGGGTCCATTGATCTGTGTAGGCTGGAAAAAAAAAACTGTAGTTCTTTAATGTTTTAAGAGTTGAATTTTGTTCTGCAGAAGAGATCACAAAAAGAATACATTTCCCTATAGCTTGCTTATAAGAAAATGTTCCAGTATTACAGAAAGACTTTTATAGGTGCTATGTGGGTACAATTTTGCCTGAGGAAATTAGAAAGTTTTTATAGACAATTCTGGCAATTGGTAAGGCAGGTAGAAAAGAACATTTCAAACAGAAGCATCAGAATGTACAGAGACATTCTATTTATTTGGTATTTCTCAGGTATATGGTGCGTGTACCCAAAGGTGACAGAAACTTGACTACAGATGTTTCTGTATTTTTTATTATTATTTAGCAAGCATTTGCTATCTTTCTCTGTGCTGTGGAAGGCACAGAAGCACAATGTGAATGAGATGTAACCTTCCCTAAAGGATGTAGCAACTCCAGTAGGTAAGCAGAGTCACGTGTACTGATGAGTTGTGTCACAGGTCTCTCCAGACTGAGGTTGAGAATCCACTTATTTAAATCCTCTCCCATCTTCCCTATCTAGCAAAGTCCCTTTCATTAAATGGTTCCAAAACAGATGGATACCCATCAGGAAGAAATACTAGATCCCTACCTCACACTATAAACAAAATTAAATTGCTGAGTAGCAAATCCATACATTTCATCATGTATAGCTGTGTGTCCTTGGGATTGAGATGGATTTCTAAGAACACAACAACAAATCATAGAGGAAATTAATTTGGGTACATAATTTAATTCCCATTAAAGATGGGAATATCCAGAAAAAAAGATGGTGAATAACCAGAAAAGTAATGAGGACCCAGAACAGATGACAAATTTCTACAAATAAACAAGATAATGACAAGAATTTTAGTTAATAAGTGGACAAAATATAGGAACCAAACTGTTCAGCCTCATTAGTGATAAGAACTGCCCCTTCTGCAGCCTAAGCCTCAGTTGGTTTCACCCCTTGCAGATCAAAGCTCACTGTTCTTTATCTCCCACCACTTCTCTTTGTCCATCCCTTGACCTTGCTTTCTCCCAAATGCTACCTAAGGCCAGACCCGCCCAGAGAAGCTGCTGCTCCCTTTTCTCTCAGCCAGCCACCCTGCTTATTAAACTTCTGGACATGAGCTACCTCTCCTTTGTGTGCGGTGTGCAGCGTTTTGCTAACAATTAGCAATGAAGGAAATGTAAATTAAAACAAAGCTTACTGTCTGTCTATAATCAGTCCAAACACTTCTTCAGGGCAGGAGGTGGTTTTATTTAAATTATCTCTGGCATGATAGAGATACCCAGTAACTGATTCCTGAATGGAATGCCTTGAATGCATTATTCTCAACCATTATTTTCAAAGACTTTTAAGACAAAGCTGTACTGCCAACCAGAGGGTACAGAAATAGTCAGGAAGCTGTTTTTGTGAGAAAATCATAGTGTATTAGATCCAAGACAAGCTCTAGCTCTTACTATTCTTGCTAAGGGTACCACCTCTTTTATGGAAAGAAAATAATTGGTTGCATCCGGTTTAACTACCCTTCTTGTTTCAATTGAAAAACTCTGAAGAAAAATAAGCATATTTTCCCACTACTACTTAAAGCTTTGTGTGTTCTGAAAGCAGGCTTTGCTGTTGACAAGGGTTCAATTGTGGTCACTGTTAACAGAGTACTAATGTTTGTTTCCCAGTGTGGGCAAATATCTTACAGTTACTTCAGTTCATCTGCAGAGTAGTGGCGACATTACTTTTTCAAAGTGCACAATGTTTACTTGTTTATGATTTTCTTTAACATTCCTTAAAATAATTTCTATTTTGTTCTATTCTTGTTTTTGAGAGAATTGGCATATTCAAGGCCAGTCTTGCTCAATTCTTGATTTTGAAAAGTCCAGGCAGGTACTAGGGATTGTGTGTAGTTGGAAGGGGATGTTTATATTTTTAATATTTTTCCCCTGCTGTCTTGCATTCCTGAATTTATATGAGCTTTGGCGGAAACCAAAGGCTGAGCGATTTTAAGTGGGTTCAGACTAGGAGTTTACTACAATTCTTCTTTGTTATTGTTTTAAAACTAGCTTCTTTGTTACTAAAATATCCCCTCCTTTCTCTGATCTCACAAAACTGCTTGTATATTTCTCCCTCCATGTGACAGGATGGAATTCTAGCAATTTTCTGCTTTCTAATTCAGAAATTACTCTGCTTATGTGTTGTGGTTCAAGAAAATTACATACAAGGATGTTTTGAGATTCACATAAAAATGTTGTAAATCAGCTCTGTGTTTGAAAAATCAGACTTTAAATAAGCACTTTTTGGAACATGGGTCCAATTGGTCTGTGCCCTTAAGTTTTATGGTGTTTTTGTTTTTCTGTGGTTTTGGTGGGTTTTCTAATTTTGTTGTTATCTCAGAAGAGTTCTGGGAAATAGTTGTGACTTGAAATCATGGTCCTACAACAACTGCTTCGAAACCCTTAACTCTGGTCAGGTTTGATGTGAATTTTGCTTTTGGATCTGCTCTGTAGGAAGATGTGAACTCTTTTTTCTGTTGCTAGATGAAAAATTGAAAATAAAAGAAAGAATTCTGATTGTTGTCTAGAATAGATACTTCAGAAATTTCTATGAAATCAAAGAACTTTCAAAGGAGCAAAATCTAGCATACTTAAAAATGTTTATCTATGTATAATATATATGTATATTATATAATGTATATATTCCCATGTCATCCAATCATTAACTTTATTAAAAGTCTTTTTGGTTTCTAAATCTTATTGCTGATATTATAAATTATGAACTAATCATGGTTTGTGAATCTTTAAAGACTAAGGACATTTTTATGTGTTCCAAACATTTTCTTGATGGAAAAGTAAAATCATATAATCAGACAAATAATTAAAACTGTCTATAATTATTATTCTTAATGTAGACTAAGATTATAACTATCCAGTCCCCAAATAAATATTTTTTAGCTTTTACATTCATCCTGTAGGTAAGGAGCATCTGTCATCTCATTAAACACAACTTTATCTGCTATTCAAGTTCTGTTTGGTCCCCATGACAGACTGAAAGCAAAAACATCTCATCTTGCCATCTGTTCTGCTAACTTCTCTTGAAGGATTTTGAGAGGTAGGGGGCCTGGAGTTTCTCTGAGCATGTGACTAGGTTCTGCTTACTGTTTTTCTGACTTTCCTCTGGCTTCAGAAATTCCAGGGGCTCTGAGAAGACGACAGGATTGAAGCTGTTTACATGTGTTGGGTAGTGATGATGATGGTTGTGGTGATGGCAATATGGTGGGAGTGGTCCATTATTGTATTTTCTCATCAGACTAGGCTCAAGGAGGATGAAACTAAACCTCCCCTCCATCCTTCAAAGACCGGGCTGCCTTTTTCATTACCTCATTTTTATAAAGCCACACCTGTTTTTTTTTCTTAGTCTAAATGTATGTCTGTTGGGGAGTCAAGTTTGATATGTGAGAAATAAGTCTCAAGATTTTCAGTTACCTGAAAACATAACATTTTTCAGTACTTTCTAGCTACCGCCATCCTGATCCATTTCCTTCAACCCAATATGTTCACCATCTTGGTCCATTATGTGCACTTGGAAAAAATGATATTTTACCTAACTTTATTGTTGGAGCACAACTTTTATAATCACATTTCCTTATAAATTATAGTAACTGTCTTTCCTTAACATTGCACAATTTTAACTGCTAAATACAGGCATCTCAATTTCTTTACATTGTAGAAAATGCTTCTTTAGCTTAATTTATGTATTGCACATTTTTTCAAGAAAGACTCACTAAACATGTGAGATGTTAGAATAAAATGATAATGTTGTGTGTTAGGAAATATTAACCTCACAATCTCCTAGGTATTTATAGGACTGACTCAGTCAGCAGTCAATGTTGTTCATTCTCTCACTTTACAACATACTTATATGCCTGTCTTTACTACCAAGTAGAGAAACTGGACATTCAAAACTGTTTACTATATCTTTTGAAATAATATAAATGAGTGCTTTTAGCGTTTCCAGACTCTGTCTCTTGAAAAGTGAAATAAATGGTGAGAGTTAATCACTTGCATTTAACACAAATATTTTCATATTTCTTGGCTTACTTTTTTTGTGGACCATATCACCCAGGAAGATCTTTAGAAAGGAAGATACATTTTTGAGACTATATAAATCTCATTTTAAAAAATCTGGCTATCTACTTAGTTGATGGTTTAGATGTCTTTAGAATTTTAGAGATATTTTTTCTTTAAAATTACCAGGACACTAGATCCTGGACTAATATCCAATTATGTTTGTGTTTTCCCAACTTTCTCCCATCCACCTTTAATTGTTTTTAAAATATATCTGCAACTTCATCTTCTAGATCATATTGAATATTTTATCTCCACTATCATATTTTTAAATCCCGAGTGCTTTCTGTTGTCTCTCTCCTTTCTTCTTGCTTTCTAGTCTTTCTTTATGAGTGCTAGTTATTCGCTTATCTCTCAGTTTTCTTCTGCTCTTTACATTGTCTCTTTTCTTCTTGGTTCCTCTTTCTTACTCTCACCAAATGTCTAATGGTCCTTGTCTATTAAACTATATATTTTAAAGATGAGGCACTAAACTATATGGCAGGTGCTTTCCAGCTTTATAGGCATCTATAGGTTGGTGAGTAAGAGGACCAGCCATTTAATCATGGACTCCCAACTCTAAGTTTCTAGTTTTGTTTGTAGGCTTGTTTATTTTCCAAAGACAGGACACTTCTAATCCAACCTAGTGTGTATAATTTGCAGCCTACATGGGGTAATGAGAGTCAGGGGAATCTTGTCACTGAGAATGCAGAACTATATTTAATCCCATTGTTTTCAATATGGCATACTTGCTGCCTGCTGTGCCCTGTGCCCTTTACTTTGGCTGTCTCTCTGGTTTAAACTCTCCAGAGAGTAAACATTCTATCTGGCTTTTTAAAAAGACTCTCTACCTATCCTGCTATTTCTAATCCTATATACCTCTTCTGATTTTAGGAGACTCCAAGTTTTACCCTGCTACGCCTCTACAGTAGGAATCTATTTCTTTGTGCTTCCTCTAGTCATAGGCTCTTGGTGGTCATTGTTTACTAGTCTACTCAGGTTACTGTTTGTTTATAGTATTTCCAAATTTTGAGTCTTTACATCTCTTAATGTGTCTTCAGTATTACTCATGGGACCTTAGCAGAGAGAAAAGATAAAGGTGTGTGTTCACACGAGTTAAGTTTACTCAGCTGCTGTATATGTTTTCCAAATGGAACACTGAAGTATGTTAAGGAGTACAGTCCAAGGCTTTTCCTGGACTTTCCTTATCTTCAATTCTCACCTATTCTAGACCTCAGCATGGTGCTCTCCTGCCTTTGACTATAGCATAGGGTTGCACATGGCCTTTTCCATTGTGAATTGATCTCATATGTTTAGATAGACGACTTAGCCTTTGGCACAATGCAGTGAATAAATTTAAGGAATCCTAATTTAGCTTAACTTTCATTTTTAATAAATTATTTCAAGTTTGCTAAGAAAAAGATCCATTGTGGACAAGTAGAGAATATGAATCAAAACCTCTGAAAAATTAAACAAATAACATGTTAATTTACCCATGATTATATGCTAACTCAAAATATGAACATATAGTATATTATTACCTTAAATACTAAAATTAAGCAGTACATGTAAAGGATGTCCCTGGTGAATAAGGTATTGTGCTAGTCTTTAAATAGGGTTACAAAGGAAATTTTTTTTTTAAAAAAAACCTCTATTTCATTATGAAGGAAGCTTAGCTACAACTTTGTTTAAATCCAAAAATAGTATGTTTAGACATAGCTTCTTTGAATTAATCTTAGCTTGATTAGAATTCCTTGCCACCTGTAGAACAATACAGCTAATTTATATCTATAGTTACAAAGCAGTTTATATTTTCTTTTCAATTTTATTTGCATGTGTAGCATACATCACCCTGTAAAAGTTAGATCCTGAGAAGGATTTCATTTTTAGCACTAGCTCCCATTATTCTTTTTGTGCTTAATTCAGGCTTTACTCTGCAAATATTCCATTCCAAGGTATATTTGATTTGCCCTCCCAGTGTCCCCTGACCAGAAGGGAACCACAGAAGAAAACATTGCTGAAGACACCCATTTCCATTGCTTGCGTAGACCTGATTCACTAAGAAAATAGGAAGAGGGTAAATGAAAAACACCCTAGGGAAGTTGCAAGCCATATAAGGCCATGGTGAGCCACAACTGTGGGCGTAATTTCTTTTTCTTTTCTCTCTTTCAACAGGGAGACACATCGCCTCTTCCTCCCACTGTCCCAGACTGTCTGCGGGCTGATGTCAGGGTTGCTTCTTCTGAGAGCCAAAAATGTTGGTTCTATTCAGCAGACAAGAATATCACCCACGGTTTCCTCTATCCTCCTGGTTAGTAGAACTCTTTTTTAGAGCAATAGCTTAGAAAGTCCTCATCAGCTGGATGTGGCATGTGCCTTAAACATATACTTGCCACCAAAACGACCTGCTTGGGCTGAACTAGTTGTCTAAGAAGTTTCCAGTGGCTGTGGGCTGGCCAGAGGCAGTTCAAGAGCTATCATAAAGACTAATAAATTTTTCTGTGGGAACCACACATCAGCTTTAATCTGGCCCAGATGTTTAGAGAGTTCGGCAGGTTTAAGTTTAATTTTAAAACTGAAGATTCTTTGGAGAGCGACACAAATATGTCAACACAAAACAAAACATTTTTTCTGGCTACTTCCCAAGCTTAGGCCTCCGTTGAGACCACAGCTGCTTCTGTGAAAAGAAAGGAGACGGGAATTTTGGCCTATCTTTCACCCATGCTGTATATCCAACACCTTTGAACTGTGGAGTAAGCAGTGGGATGAACTTTTTAAGGTTTTTTAAAAATAGTTTTGAAAGGATTTTTCTTGGGATCATATAAAAGCTAGTGTGGTCATTCTAAAACTTAAGACTTTTTCCCATTTATCAGGAAATGTCATGTTCCTGAGATTTTTCAATAATTTCAGTTTCTGAGAATGGATTTACTCCTGAAATGTGTCTTAAATCTTTCTTCAAGCCATAACCAAAGTTATATAATTTAGAGGTTCTGAGATTTATAGTGGAGGAAAACAAGCTTAATGAATGCAAGTAGTGTATCAATTTGAAATCTCCAGGCTTTGAAATAAAATCCATTTGTTTTGCAGCAAACAATAGAACTTCTAATAGTCAGTATGATGCTTTAATTACAAGTAATTTGGTTCCAATGTATGAAGAATTCAAAAGTAAGTATGTGTTTAATATATTAATCTTAAAACATCTAAGTGGCTTCCCAAACTTCCAAAGTAAATTTACATTTTAGTATTGCAATTTGCTAGTGATGGTAAGAGTTATTTTGTTCTGAAGCTTTAAATTTAGGTTCAGAAGACATAGTTTCTTTTCAACTTCAATTTTGAGTGACTTGTAGAATGCTGGAAATTTATTTTTAAAGTAGCTTAATTACAGAGCCATTCACAAAACTAAATTTTACTGACATTCAACCATAAGTAAATGAAATGTAAATTTTTGTCCCCAGAATAATAATTTATACGACAGCATGTATATTCTGACCATTTTTAGCACTCACTTCCCTCAAATCAACATAGCTTTAGACAGAAATTTGGAGACATATTTAACTATAATTTCCAGACTGCAACAGAACGCTATCATCAGGAGTGGGCATGGTTCAACTGTTAGAGTGCTTGCCTCGCAAGTGTAAGGTCCTGAGTTCAATCCCCAATACCACATATGCACACAATAAAAGCTATTGGCAACATGACTGCTTATTTTTGTTGCCCAATCTTCACTGACAATTATTAAAGTCGAATTTGATACTTTCTGGATATACCTCTCTATACTAGAAAGTGATTCTCATGTTCAATAGAAGTAGATATGTTTCACAACTTGTTCTTTTGCTTTTAGAAATGTGGGACTACTTCCACAGGGCTCTTCTTATTAGACATGCCGTGGAAAGAAATGGAGTAAACGTAGTTAGTGGACCAATATTTGATTATAATTATGATGGTCATTTTGATGCTCCAAATGAAATTATAGAGTAAGTATTTCACTTTTTGATTTAGAAATAAGGTGCTACGAGGGGAAATCCCAGTATTTTAAGTGCAAGTTCTGTGTTCTAAATAGTATATGTAGTATTCAGGTTTTATTATTACCTATTTTCACCTACTTTATATGTATTAGCAAAAATTTTATATGGCAAAAATTTAAGTTGAGAACAAAGAAAAAACTTGCAGGTAAAGTTTAGCAAATGTTTTGTTTGGAAAATTTCTGAACTAATAAGAAAAGATAAAAATGAGATTTTATGAAAATGAAGAAGAGACTCAGTGTACTATCAATAAATATACAACCAGTACAATAAGTGAAAAATTTCAAATAAACACTGGTTTTTACCTTAGAAAATTTCACACAATAGTGAACAATTCATAAGTGTATTCCCTAAGAGATGATGGAAGTGCATTTTATGTAGAAAACTGGTCCAGTCAAACTGTGTATAATACTAAACCTGGTCATGACAGGTTGCTCAGAATTAGTTTTGAATACAGACATAGTAATAAAGAGTTTTATCCATTACTTTTTTTCTTATCAAAATATAGGAAAGGTTGGCTCAAGGAATTGTTATATCTCAGCCTACATTATACAAAGTGATGAGTTTTTCTTATACCTTCTGATAAAGTAATGTCTAGTACTACTAAGTGTGTAGACTTTATTTTGTTTACCTTGTCCTTATTTCATTATTTATTGAGTCTGCCTTTCATCATTTAATAATTCTAACAAATATTTTGATATGATTTTACTACATGTTGGTAGTTTTCTAAGCATTTACATATACTTCATTTTGTTTACAAAACAACCTTATGTTAAGTTCCACTACCCTCTAGTTAGAGATGAGGAAACTGAGGCAAAGGGAGGTTAAATAACTTGTCTAAATTCCACAACTCATAGGTGGCAAAGCCAGAATGTGGAGCCAGACTGCTTGGATTGTCCATGTTGCAAATCACAATGGTATACTGCTGTTATGCCAACTTGTATTCCTTTTAAGGGACACATACTAATATCTTATCTTTATTTTGTACTTAAAACTTTTAAAAACACTTTCACATTTGTTATCTGAAACCAAAGCCCTGACATACTGGCTGTATGAATTTACTCCCACATGTACACACAAAGTTGGTAGCTCATGATCACTTCCTTATTGAACTTGAGGAAACAATCATAGAGTATTAAAGGTTTGGACCAGCCTATGCATTTAGTGGAAGTGCACAGCCAGAGCTGCAATCTGGACTCTTTCATCCCCGGATTCTGCTTTACTGGAAAATACCACTGGGAAGTGTGAAGTCAACAGAGCTCAGAAACATAGGAGACAGAATTCCATACTTTTCTTTGCATTCTAATATTTTCCTATAATGTTAGAATCACCAAGCTAAGATTTCCACCATAAATCTCTGTAGAGACTGATTGAAGTTGAAGTACATGAAAAAACTTTGTACTTGACATCTATTTCTTTTACTAAATTTTTACCTTGGCATTTCTTTAGAACTATTTAAAGATATTTGTAATCTTTAGGAGCAAAGATACTATGATATCAAATGATTCAATTGTATTTTAGACATGTAGAGAATACTGATGTTCCCATCCCAACACACTACTTTGTGTGCTGACAAGTTGTAAAAACAAGAGCTACACACCCGACAACTGCCCTGGGTGGTTGGATGTCCTCCCTTTCATCATCCCTCACCGACCTACCAACATGGAAAGCTGTCCTGTGAGTATGCTTTGGGAAAGAGCCCTGTGACCTGAGAAAAGGATTAGTCACAGCTCCTTTGGGTTTTTATAAAAGTGGCTCTGTCTAAAATATATTTTTTACTCTACATGGGTAGAATAAATTACTTCATTTTGAGCTTTTCTGTAGATGATTGATCTCAAACATGTATCTGCGTAAGTGAACATGTATTTATGTTTGCATGCCTTATATATTTTACTTATATATATATATATCTTATTCATCCTCACTAGGGAATAGATGGTATCATTTTTTATTCTGGAGACAAATCTTAAGGTCTCATCTTAAGATTGGCATTAAATTAATGTTTTCTGAATGAATATTGAAATACAAAAAAGTCTGTACTTTGAAGCCTGAAGTGTGACATTAATTTTACACACACACACACACACACATCAGACAGAGAGAGAGAGAGAGAGAGAGGTAAAAAGGAAGAGAAGGTTCTCTAACATTCTTTATTTTGACATTGGTCCACTTCAAAATTTATTTGAGTCAAGGCAAATTATGTATAAATGTTGTTTCTACTCTAATATTATGTTTTTCATGGAAAAATGTTTCCTAAAAATTGGATTTTGTTGAGGTCATTCTATAAAAATATTGAATACCTATTAAGTACCCAGTACTGTGATAGAAAAACTATAGAATGCACATTGCCCTTTAAGAAGCTCATATACAACATTGATGTGCAAATCATGTGTGTACAAATGTGTAGACACATGAATGGGTTGATGGTAGTACAACAATATTTAAAAAATTAAGAAATTAAACATTAAGAGATGACTTAAAGTTGAGCTCCATTGTCAAATACTGTTTGCAGTATTTGTGTTTGGAATTAAGAACACATTTGACTGAAGAGTTCAATTAAGGTTATGTAAAATGAGGTGGGAACAGTTCTGGGCTCTCTGAAGGGTAGGAAAAATTTGACTAGTTTGAGAAGACTAGGAACAGGTTTTGAACAGGGAGCAATTCATGACTGATAGGCTGTAACAGCCAAAGGAAAAGGGAAACCCAAAAACAAATCAGAGATTTTAAATGTAGATAATTGGGGAAAACAGAAAAAGAGGGATGAGAACTCTTTAGCAGGTAGATAGGATGGTTACATTTAGGCATGTCAAGTTTGTGGAATTGAATGTTCACATGGGAAGTCCTAGTGTCTATTAGAGGTTGGAAATGAAAAAGCAGGGTATTGATCAGATTGAGATTTATGTATTTTCTTTCAGTCATTCAACAACATGACTACAGTCATCATGTTATGTATTGAGATGTATTTGCCCTTAGAAGCCTGCTAAAATAGAGGAAGGAAGAGATACACAGTACAAGAGAGGGGCAGAAAAATTGTAGGATTTCAAAGGAGAAGTACTTCCTTGCAGGGAAGGTGACGTTTTTGCTGAGTCATGCAGAAAGCATTGGACTGGGTTGTTGCATGTCTTTCAGTAAGTAAAGATGTAGAGCAAGTGTTAGAAGTGGAATAGTGTGTTTTTCAAAGTCTTAAAATGAAGAAGAATTCTAAATAAGAAACTATCAGGAATGTCATTAAGTTGAATTTCTTCCTACTTTGCCTGTCAGCATTTTATTTAGTCAAGTCAAAGATAAGCCATCATTCTTTACTTCCTTTTCCAATGGCAGATATTGGTAACTGATACAGTGTGGTACTCTTAGAAACAGAATAGAGATTAAGCTGTTCTTTATCACAGACTCTGTAAGTAGCCATTGTGGAGTGATATAATGGTGTACAAAGAAACTACTTGTCCCTTTTCTAGGCCCATGGGACCTTCTGTCAGAACTTTTGAAAATGAATCTTTTATTTATTTGTTTATTTTGCAGTTTTGGGGATCGAACTCAGGCTTTACACATTGTAAGCAAGCACTCTACCCTGAACCAAATCCCTAGCTCCTCAAATGTACCTTAAGTAGTTTTGCCTGCTGTTGTCTTCCTTCCCTCCACCTGTGTGCACCACTGTCAGCTTACTCATCTTAAAATTTAGCTTTTGATTATGTCATGATCCCTCACCTCAACATGTTCGATTATCTATACTGAATAAAATATCAACAAATAGGCAACAAATAGGTGCAAATCCTATGTAGACTTCCCTGGATCATGAAAGTAGAAATGATTCCCCCAAAATGAATATGGGATATCACTAATGAATTGGATATCATTCAAGATTTTGAGGGTTTTGTGGTACAGTAATAGGACATCAGTAAGATACTTACAATACATAGTGTGATGAGTGTGAAATAAACTTAAGTCAAGATATGGCTATAAGAGATTGTGAAATAAAATGTGGCTGTCAATTAGCTGGGGGTGAGAAGTGGAAGATGCAGGATGTGACAGTAAAAGGTGCCTGAAAACTTATGCATGACTGGCCAGAAAATGTGTAAGACACTTGGTTGTTTGGAGAAAGATGAATTTGTTGGTTTTCAGATTAAGACTATTTGAAAATCCAGGAGGGCAAAAGAAAAACGGCACAGAAAAGCACTTAAATGTACTAGGTTCGGAGTTAAACATCATGGGTTCACTTAGTGTTTTGGCCTCTTTGGGTAAATAACTTAATCTCAATTTCCTCATCTATTATAGCTATTAAGTATTAAAAATTCACCTCTCCTCCTAAAGTTTTCTTGAGGATTAAATGAAATAATCCTTATAAAACATAAGAGTTCCCAACATATAGTAAACTAATGGTGGCCTTTATAAAAGAATCATACCTTATGATGGAATTACAGCCTCAAGTTAACATGAAATGAACTCCCCTCTATCCAAATCACCCAGAAAGTATAGTATATACATCAACTGTTCCTTAGTAAGTTCAAACTAGAAGGTATTTCCACTAGCTTTAGAACAGGTAATTGAGCTGTATGTACTTGGTGGAAATAGTTTGCATGATTTAAGGGTTGGGTGGATGAAAATCTGTACTTTAAAATATTGTAATATTCAGTGCACAGAGGTAGTTCCAGTAAAAGTGGTTTGAGGGAAGTTTTTCCTTAGCTGTAGGATAGTAGATTTATAGTTTTGTCTTGATTAGCAAATCAGAAATGTGTTTTCTCCTTTTGTTTTACTTTCATACTCCTTTTATCCTTTGTTTCCTCTTCCTTTACTTTTTTCCTCCAACTTTGTATTGTTAAACTCCTCTCAGGTAAATGAGAATGTAATCATGAGTCCAAGTGTCTGTCGTTATCACAAATTACTCGGTATATATTGGAAAATTTAAATAGCAAATTTAGAAAAGAAATCAGAAAAGATGTAAATTTGACATTAAAGCAAGTGGGTGAAATAAAATTACCAAAGAGAAAAAAAGGAGAGAGAAGTGATCCTAAGACCAAATATATGTACTTCTGATGGAAAGAAGTAGAATCAGTTAAGGAAATAGAAAGTGTGACAGACAAGGTGCAATTAGTGCAGCCATGGAAGACAGAGGGGAACATTCTGAAGCTTGGGCTGTCAGCTAGATGAAAGGTCTGTGGAAGTCCTCTCAGTGAGGTCATCTAGCAAGGGAGTTGCATTGATGTGGTAGCAGCCAGACCCAAGCTGTTAAGGAGAGAAAATGAGGAGGAAGTAGTTAAAGATGAAAAATACTGAAATAGGCCTAACAAAACTGGCAATGAGTTATATTTGGGGGGATCTATATTTCTTATATTTATGTATCAGGGATAAGATATAATAATAGTTTATATTATATGTAGTCGAAGGATGCATTTAAATATACCTTGTAAAACCCCCATCTGTACAAGGCTGCTACGCTGTTGGAGTGCACTGTACAACTGGAGTGCTGTCTACAGTGCTTCTGTTTGGATTGGTTGATACGGATGGTTGAGTATTCGTTCTGCGTGTGTATTGTCATGTGTGGTACTTTATGATTACTTAATGATAACTTTAAAAGAAGGAAAAGTACCAGGGATTCAGCAAATATTGAGTTGGATGATACCAAATAAGCTAGGAGAGATAGAATCATATAAGTCAAGTGGGAAAAATTTATGGAAAAAAGTGATCAGAAATATGAAATGCTATATCCAAAGTAATGTGAGGCAGCATACAATAGAGGCACCTGCACACCTATATTTATTGCAGCACAATTCACAATAGTCAAGTTATGGAATCAGCATAGGTGTTCATCAACCAATGAATGGATAAAGAAAATGTCTAGAAACACAGTGGAAAATGAAATTATATCATTTGCAGGGAAATTGCAGGAATTGATGAGCAAAATAAGTGAGACTCAGAAAGACAAATACCATGTTTTCTCTCATATGTGAAGCTAGATCTGTAAATACAAACAAATAAACAAAAAGACATGAAACTAAATAGAGGACTATTGGGGGGAAGGGAGAGTACTGGGGAGTGAATAGAATCAAAGTACATTGTATGCATGTATGGAAATGTCATAATGAAACCTATTATTTTGTATAATAGAAAAGAAATATGAAAAGCATCTGAAATGTGAAATAGTAAAGGCAAGGAGAAAAGATTTTGAGTTAGATTCCCATTGGAAAACTCAGTTCAAATTAGCATGCTACATATTGATATAGAATGAATTAACTAGCATGATGACCTCACACAGAAACTGTTTTTGTGGGTAGGAACAAAAAGTAACTTCCTCTTTCATTTCCTCTGCTCTGGCTCAAATAGTGGTTGACTGTTTTGAGCCTGAATACTTAAAAAACATGTTCCCTAATTAAACAAACATTGAAACTTTACTTTGTTAAAATTTAACTGAAAATTAACAATATATGAATATTAGAAAATTTAATAAAGAATAAAGAGTGTCACAGAAACCTATGGTTCTAAATTATGGACCTAACTGTTATATAATAAACAGTTGTTAAAATCAAATGGTCAAGATGTATCTGAAAAGATACTGACCTGTACTACTATTCAGAGTAATAAATTTAAGCAGACATAAAACACTATTTCATACCCATGGTTTGACAAACGCGGAGACTTGGAGACCATCTCCCACTGCGTGTGGGAGGCAAATTGACGCAAACATTTTGAGGACTGGTATGTTAATATCTGGTACAGATAATAGAGCATGTAGTCAATGATCTAGAGAGTTCATTTGTATGTCTTAGAAGCTGATAGTCTCAAACACAGAGGCATATGCTCTTGCTCATCACAGTGTTTATAATAGCAAGAAAGATCTATAAGTACGCCACTGAAAACAATAGGCGATATTAAGTTCAAATGAGGAACCACCACAAACTGCAACTGAAAATAAATGACCCACCTCTGTCTAGATATATCACTATGATATATTATAAATAGCTGAAAGACATCACTTACAGTGCAGCTATATAAATTTGAAAACTCATAAACCAATACTAAATATTATGTATTAATTTGTAGTAAAAGTTTAAAACAAAAAACCAGATTGGATTCACATGGACTCAGTGATGTTTAACTTTGAACCAAGGAACACTGGGGCTTTATCTTCGTCTGTAATATTGTATTTCTTTAAAAAACTTATATCTGAAGTAAATGTAAGAATGGATAAAGTATGAGTTTGTGGTGACCTGTAGACCTTTTAGTACATTTTACTTTTTATTAAACAAAATCAGTTACATTATGTTTTAAGGCCATAAAAATCCCAAAAGGACATCTGAGTAATAAAATATCTCTATATTAATGAAAAAATCATGCCCTAGAGAAAATGGTCTCGTGTTTCTCTCTTCAGGATGGTAAAACAGAAGATCTCTGGGTTGAAGAAAGATTCAACGCCCATATAGCCCGCGTACGAGATGTAGAACTTCTTACTGGTCTTGACTTTTATCAGGAAAAAGTACAGCCTGTCTCTGAAATTTTGCAATTAAAGACCTATTTACCCACATTTGAAACCATTATTTAACTTCATGTATAAAACAATTTTGCCAAAATGTAGATGACATTTTCTGTTGGAAAATCATAAAATAAAGTTTTCTATTTTTCCTTAACTCTCCTAAAAGTCATGTTGCGTAATTTTCATTATACCCTTCATGCTTTTTCATTTCTGTGAACAGTCATTATTTTAAAATCACATTTTCATGTGACATTTATGCCGTGTTATACCTTCCTTATTATATTTATTATCCCTTGCATAATCTTTGCTGGCATTTTTCTACCCGGTATTATTTAAACCAAAGAAAGAACAAGAGAAATAAGTCTCACTGGAGAACTGAATCAATTCTACATCTGATGTGTCATAAAACTTTTTATATTTAGCAATTGGATAATATTTATTAAAATAAGGTGCACATAACTTTCATTCAGTAATTTAATCTGTAAAAACAAATTTTCTTTGTGTAATACATAAAAATATCGAAGATCAGAAAACACAGGACTTGTTTAAACAAGGGAATTGCTGTTCCACTTGCATAAGGAACGCAGATCTATATATTGAACTCACGGCTATCTTTAAATGAAAAAACAAGTAGCAAGACTGTGTTTGTAGTGTAATGTCATTTTTCACGTGTTGCCAAATTTGTCTATAAAGGGCCAAATAGTAAAATTTTTAAGCCATACAGTTCTGTTGCAAATAGTTGTGTGTTGCTTAGGGTTGGAGTTACATTCTGACAAATGTGTCATTAGACACTTTTGTTGTGTGAACATCGTAGAATGTATTTACAGGAAGTAAAATGGCTGAAGTCACTAGATTATGTGATTTTAGGGACTACTGTTCTATATATGGTCCATCATTAACTGAAACATGACTATAGCCCACTATTACATTGAAAAAGCAGTTACAGATAATATATAAAATGAATGGAACTGGCTGTGTGCCAATAAAACTTAATTTACAATGAATGGGGCTGGGTTGGCCCAAAGGCTGCAGTTTGTGAATCCCTGAATTGCATAATACAACTCTGATATCAGAGGATGTAAGAATTTATAGTAAAGAGATAAAGGAAGATAAAAGTTTTGTTTTGTGCCCTTTGTACTGCCTCAAGTTTTTGATATGTATTTGTTAATTTTTCACAATACCATTATGAACCAAAGAGGTCACAGTACTTAATTCAGGGCAACACCATTGCTTAGATTCTTGAATTATCAGACTGGCAATTGTGCAGATTCTTCCCTCTTATAAAGGTGAGGTCACTCAAGGACATGTACACTGCTGCGGATGAAAACTCTGAGCTTCAAGAACAACACATGTTATTACTTTGTTTCTATTAAACTATGGTTATTAACTACAACTAATGCAATGTTAGTTTAGTGCCATTGGGTTTTTAAAATGTATTTTCTTCACTTGTAGATGTTAGTTAAACTTTTATTCAGTGCAACACTTATAGTACAGAAAGACTGAAAGACAAGCCACAAATTGGAAAGCACTTCCAGATATATAGCAACAGTGTTACTGTCCTATTTATACAAAATAGAACTGTGTCAGTGTTCTCCAGCCACACCAAGGTCCGAAATTTACATAAATGATCTGGGATCCACCCCTCTATGGGGAGACAATTGTTGAAAGTTACAACCTTGAACTAGGAAAGGTCAGTCTAAAAAAACACTAAATTCCCTCTTTTTACATAGAATTTCATGACTTTATACCTTTTTGTATACTCATGTTTCCATTAAAAAGAAATATGGACATGTAAAATCATCCTGAAGGAATGATTATCAGTGATTTAATGGGTCAGGGAATTACCGGGGTTTTGCTATTTCTGCTTTCTAATTTTCAGTATGTTTTCTATATTCTATAATGAGCTTGTTACTTTAGAAATCTAAAACATAAACAGTGAAGTTTGTTGCAATATAAAATTTATTTAGAAAGAATTTTAAATATAAAGAAAGGTTGTAAGAATAGCATAAAGTACCCTTGTATAACACTTAACCCACCTCTGCCAATGTTAGCATTCTCACTATTATGTTTATATGCATACATATAAACATATAAATAATATATAATCTTTCCTGAACTGAGAGTACATTGTAGTAATCATGCCCACTTATTTCTAAAAGTTCTGTGTTTGCTAAGATCGAGTTCACTAACTTACAGAACCACAGCCAGAAAGTTTAATGTTGATATAGTACTACAGTCTAATTTATAGGCCTATCAGACTTTTCTCATATTTTCAAAAATGTCTGTTTATGACATTTTCTTTCCTGGTCCAAAACCTAAAACAGAGTCATTTGTTGTAGTAAGTTTTCTTCTTTTTTCTTTGATCTTTTACAATGTGTAGTTGTAGGTTCTCAGCCTGTAACAAACAACATTGATATTTTGTAAGAGTCCAAGGACTTTCATTTTGTGGACTGCCAGGGTTTGTGTGACATTTCCTCATGGTCAAGTTCATTCACTCTATGCAATTTTGGCAGGAACACTATAGTAGTGACCCTTGTCATCAATGTTTCTTATTTGGAGGAAGAATATAATGTTTATTTGTGTGGTTATTATAGATGCCAAATTTGTTTGCTTGGTTAAGGTGGTGTTCATCAAGCATTCAACTGTAAGGCTAAGTTTTTCCTTCTGATTTCCTTGTTACCTCTTTGTTATCTATATGGACTCATGGATTCTTTTTTATTCCAAGACTTGAAGATACATTCCCATCATGATTTATTTTAAAAGTACTCAGATTCTCACAGATTCAGCCTGTAGGAGCTCCTTTAAGCGGGCTCCTGTGTCCTTTTGACAAATATCCAACATTTCTTGCGTACTTCCTTATTTCCTGGTATAAAAAAATGTTTCAAGGCTCATCTTGTACTTCCCCTGAACTGACTCTGGAATCCACCTTTTCTTCAAGGAGTCCTGACTCCATTTCATGGGCTGATGCCCTTGTTGCCTGGGGGGTATAATTGCACCGAAATCCATACCTACTTTGTCTATACCATCTTTACCTTTATATCTACGTGAATAAAAATTCATGAGTTCAAGAGCCACCCATAACAGCGTGAATTGTTCTCACCTTGTCCCATTTCATTGTTGAACTTACCTTCTCCAAGCATGAGAGACTTGCTTCCCAATATCATCAGTATATTTACTCATTTTCTCAGTCCTGTAACTCATACAGAGTGGGAATTGCTGAGCCATACTTCTGGGAGAAGCAAATTAACTAAAGAGTTCAGTCAGTTTCCTCTTTATGTCCATAGACTGGAAAGATGTCGTCAGAATACTATGCTTCAAAACTAATTGGATTTGGTTTTCTTCCTCACTGTCGTTACATTATTCATTTGAGATACAGTATTTGTTTATTTGTTTTTATCTATATTCCATTAAAGGATTTACCCATCCTGTTTAGTCAATTATTTTTTTTTTAGTATGTAAAATCTGAACAAAGCAAAAATCAGAAGGTATGCTCAGAAAAATTTCCCCCCCAACCTCCGGTCCTTTCCTGTCACCTCTTGTAGACAATCAATGTCCTTTGTTTCTGATTTCTCAGTTCTGTATTTGTTTCTTTCAAAGTAAGCATGTAGTTTTTTGGATTTTCCTTTCTTACACAAAAAAGGCATTCAAGTTTTTTAAAACTTTACATCTTGAGAGTCATACTATATATGTAGATCTTCCTTATCCTATTTTATGGCCACATAGTACTCCACCATGTGAATGTACCATAGCTTATTAAATCAATAATTTATTAAATAAATCTCCTACATAAAGGCCTTTAGATGAATTACAAAAGAATTACAAAGATACAACAGTGAATAATGTTACTTACCTGTTATTTTGTATTTTGTTGGGTGTTTATCCTCTAGGTGAATTCTAAAAATGGGTAAACATACATATTGTAGCTTCATTTTTTTGTTGTTGACAAGTACTGGTGTTTGACCTCAGGGCCTTGTGCTTGCTAAGCGGGTGCTCTACCACCTGAACCATAACCTCATCCCTTTTTTTGGTTAAGCTATATTTCAGATAGGGTCTCGTGCTTTTTGCCAGGGGCTGGCCTCTGACCTAATCCTCCTACCTCTGCCTGCCATACATAGCAGGAATTATAGATGCTCACCATCATGCCTGGCCTATTTGTTGAGCTGGGAGCTCATTAACTTTTTTGCCTGGGCTAGTCTTGAACTTTGATCCTCCTATTTCCACCTCCCAAGTAGCTGGGATTATAGATAGATGTGAACTATCACACCCAGACCTGTAGCTTCATTTTAAAAAATAAATTTATTGGCACAACTTTAATTCTTAAATTGTTGTGCTTAAATTCTGAATTCACTGAGATATAGTTCCACCCCCCCAAATGGAAATAATTTTTATTTTGGTTTTTTTGGGGAGGGTGTACTAGATTTTGAACTTAGGGCTTTATGCTTTCTAGGCAGGTACTCTACCACTTGAGCCACTCCACCAATCCTATTTTTCTTAATTATTAAAGTAACTCATTCATTTTAAGGCTATCCAAACTAAAGAAATGTAAATTATTATTATGTAATAAATTAACATATATTTGTATTTGTAAGTATTAAAATCACACACAATGTATTCACTGGGGTTTACAGTGATTAACCCATGCCTTCTGCCATGTCTCTCCTTTGAAATATAGTGTGAACCTAGAATTTAGAGAAATGATGATACCTGTTACTTTGGTTCAGATTCAAATGTTTTTTTTCCTGTCAGGATTTAGAAAACTGTATCAGAAAATGTAACCTATTAGAGCAAGTAAGGCAATTATTACATGACTTTTTCTAAGAGGAGCAATGACAGAGGTGACTCCATTTTGGATGAGAGAGGCACTTTACAAACAGACATGTAAAAGGAGTGAGAAACAAATTTCTCACAAAAATAACAAGACTCTAAATGCAGCTGAAAGATGTGGGCCCCAAGGCCAGGGTAAGCTGACCAGACCTTCCTGGAATGCTCAGTTCAATAAGGAGAAGAACAGACCAGCGACTGAGTTCAGCAAGAAGCTGACTCAGCACCAACCAATGACAAATATATTT